GGTTACGCACGCACAAATCTGGTTACGCACGCACAAATCTTTTTACGCACACACAAATATTATTGAAACAATAATAGCTCCATAGACTTCAGCTCTTTCAGACATTTCTACAGTTTCAATGATTCAACAGTTTCAAGGATTCAACAGTTTCAAGGATTCAACAGTTTCAAGGACTTCAGCAGTTTCAAGATTTCAAGAGTTTCAAGGACTTCAACAGTTTCAAGGACTTCAACAGTTTCAAGGACTTCAGCAGTTTCAAGGACTTCAGCAGTTTCAAGGACTTCAGCAGTTTCAAGGACTTCAGCAGTTTCAAGGACATCAACAGTTTCAAGGACTTCAGCAGTTTCAAGGTTTCCACAGTTTCAAGGTTTCAACAATTTCAAGGTTTCAACAGTTTCAAGGTTTCAACAGTTTCAAGGTTTCAACAATTTCAAGGTTTCAACAGTTTCAAGGACTTCAACAGTGTCAAGGACTTCAGCAGTTTCAAGGACTTCAGCAGTTTCAAGGACTTCAGCAGTTTCAAGGACATCAACAGTTTCAAGGACTTCAGCAGTTTCAAGGTTTCCACAGTTTCAAGGTTTCAACAATTTCAAGGTTTCAACAGTTTCAAGGTTTCAACAGTTTCAAGGTTTCAACAGTTTCAAGGACTTCAACAGTTTCAAGGTTTCAACAGTTTCAAGGTTTCAACAGTTTCAAGGACTTCAGTGTAATCATGCAACCTAATAGGGATTTTTCCATGTAAACCAGTATAATGCAACTTAATAGGATTTTTCCATGTAAACCAGTATAATGCAACTTAATAGGGTTTTTTTCATGTAAACCAGTATAATGCAACTTAATAGGGTTTTTACATGTAAACCAGTATAATGCAACTTAATAGGGTTTTTTTCATGTAAACCAGTATAATGCAACTTAATAGGGTTTTTTTCATGTAAACCAGTATAATGCAACTTAATAGGGTTTTTTCATGTAAACCAGTATAATGCAACTTAATAGGGTTTTTTTCATGTAAACCAGTATAATGCAACTTAATAGGGTTTTTTCATGTAAACCAGTATAATGCAACTTAATAGGGTTTTTTTCATGTAAACCAGTATAATGCAACTTAATAGGGGTTTTTACATGTAAACCAGTATAATGCAACTTAATAGGGATTTTTCCATGTAAACCAGTATAATGCAACTTAATAGGGATTTTTCCATGTAAACCAGTACAATGCAACTTAATAGGGATTTTTCATGTAAACCAGTATAATGCAACTTAATGGGGATTTTTCCATGTAAACCAGTATAATGCAACTTAATGGGGATTTTTCCATGTAAACCAGTATAATGCAACTTAATAGGGATTTTTCCATGTAAACCAGTATAATGCAACTTAATGGGGATTTTTCCATGTAAACCAGTATAATGCAACTTAATAGGGGTTTTTACATGTAAACCAGTATAATGCAACTTAATAGGGTTTTTTCCATGTAAACCAGTATAATGCAAATTAATAGGGATTTTTCCATGTAAACCAGTACAATGCAACTTAATAGGGATTTTTCCATGTAAACCAGTATAATGCAACTTAATAGGTTTTTTTTCATGTAAACCAGTATAATGCAACTTAATAGGTTTTTTTTCATGTAAACCAGTATAATGCAACTTAATGGGGTTTTTTTCATGTAAACCAGTATAATGCAACTTAATGGGGATTTTTCCATGTAAACCAGTATAATGCAACTTAATAGGGTTTTTTCATGTAAACCAGTATAATGCAACTTAATAGGGTTTTTTTCATGTAAACCAGTATAATGCAACTTAATAGGGTTTTTTTCCATGTAAACCAGTATAATGCAACTTAATAGGGTTTTTTCATGTAAACCAGTATAATGCAACTTAATAGGGTTTTTTTCATGTAAACCAGTATAATGCAACTTAATAGGGTTTTTCCATGTAAACCAGTATAATGCAACTTAATAGGGTTTTTTCATGTAAACCAGTATAATGCAACTTAATAGGGTTTTTTTCATGTAAACCAGTATAATGCAACTTAATGGGGATTTTTCCATGTAAACCAGTATAATGCAACTTAATGGGGATTTTTCCATGTAAACCAGTATAATGCAACTTAATAGGGATTTTTCCATGTAAACCAGTATAATGCAACTTAATGGGGATTTTTCCATGTAAACCAGTATAATGCAACTTAATAGGGGTTTTTACATGTAAACCAGTATAATGCAACTTAATAGGGTTTTTTCCATGTAAACCAGTATAATGCAAATTAATAGGGATTTTTCCATGTAAACCAGTACAATGCAACTTAATAGGGATTTTTCCATGTAAACCAGTATAATGCAACTTAATAGGTTTTTTTTCATGTAAACCAGTATAATGCAACTTAATAGGTTTTTTTTCATGTAAACCAGTATAATGCAACTTAATGGGGTTTTTTTCATGTAAACCAGTATAATGCAACTTAATGGGGATTTTTCCATGTAAACCAGTATAATGGAACTTAATAGGGTTTTTTTCCATGTAAACCAGTATAATGCAACTTAATAGGGATTTTTCCATGTAAACCAGTACAATGCAATTTAATAGGGATTTTTCCATGTAAACCAGTATAATGCAACTTAATAGGGTTTTTTTCATGTAAACCAGTATAATGCAACTTAATAGGGATTTTTCCATGTAAACCAGTATAATGCAACTTAATAGGGGTTTTTTTCATGTAAACCAGTATAATGCAACTTAATGGGGATTTTCCATGTAAACCAGTATAATGCAACTTAATAGGGATTTTTCCATGTAAACCAGTACAATGCAATTTAATAGGGATTTTTCCATGTAAACCAGTATAATGCAACTTAATAGGGTTTTTTCATGTAAACCAGTATAATGCAACTTAATGGGGATTTTTCCATGTAAACCAGTATTATGCAACTTAATAGGGATTTTTCCATGTAAACCAGTATAATGCAACTTAATAGGGTTTTTTTCATGTAAACCAGTATAATGCAACTTGATAGGGTTTTTACATGTAAACCAGTATAATGGAACTTAATAGGGGTTTTTATATGTAAACCAGTATAATGGAACTTAATAAGGGTTTTTACATGTAAACCAGTATAATGCAACTTAATAAGGATTTTTACATGTAAACCACTATAATGTAACCTAATAGGGGTTTTTACATGTAAACCAGTATAAAGCAACTTAATAGGGATTTGTACATGTAAACCAGTATAATGCAACCTAATAGGGATTTTTCCATGTAAACCAGTATAATGCAACTTAATAGAGATTTTTCCATGTAAACCAGTATAATGCAACTTAATAGGGATTTTTCCATGTAAACCAGTATAATGCAACCTAATAGGGATTTTTCCATGTAAACCAGTATAATGCAACTTAATAGGGTTTTTTTCATGTAAACCAGTATAATGCAACTTAATAGGGTTTTTACATGTAAACCAGTATAATGCAACTTAATAAGGATTTTTACATGTAAACCACTATAATGTAACCTAATAGGGGTTTTTACATGTAAACCAGTATAAAGCAACTTAATAGGGATTTGTACATGTAAACCAGTATAATGCAACCTAATAGGGATTTTTCCATGTAAACCAGTATAATGCAACTTAATAGAGATTTTTCCATGTAAACCAGTATAATGCAACTTAATAGGGATTTTTCCATGTAAACCAGTATAATGCAACCTAATAGGGATTTTTCCATGTAAACCAGTATAATGCAACCTAATAGGGATTTTTCCATGTAAACCAGTATAATGCAACCTAATAGGTTGCATTATACCACCAGACCAAGACCCAAACGAAGACTCAGACCACCACCAGATAATGACCACAGACCAGGTTTCCTTAGTTACAGGAACCAAATTGTTTCAGCTGTGAGGGGATTTTTCAGTTTCAAGGACACTTTCAATACATTCAGTAGTTTCAAGGATTTCAACTGTTTAAGAATTTAACCAGTTTCAAGGATATCAGGAGGTTCAAGGATTTCAGGAGTTCCCACACTTTCAACAGTTTCCAGGTTTGAAAAAGTTTCAAGGATTTCAGGAGTTTCAATTTTTCAACAGTTTCAAGGATTTCAGGAGTTTAAAGGTTTCAACAATTTCAAGGACTTCAGGAGTTTCAAATATCTATCAAGTATTTTAACAGTTTCAAGGCCTTTTAAAGGATTTCAAGGATTTTTTTTAGCAGATTTCCACATTAGATCTGTTCCGCAGTCAATCGCAATGGCTTCAGCCATTGCAAGTTTCTAGTTATTATTAGAAATGAACAAAACTGAGACACAACAGATTTGCTTTGATAAAACTTTACTTTTATTTTAGTATTTCAAAATTTAACTGCAGCTGAAGACGTGTCCTCACTGACAGGGAGCCCAGAGGGAGAGAGACCAGAGAGAGAGACCAGAGGGAGAGAGACCAGAGAGAGAGACCAGAGGGAGAGAGACCAGAGAGAGACCAGAGGGAGAGAGACCAGAGGGAGAGAGACCACAGGGAGAGAGACCAGAGGGGAAGAGAAAAGAGGGAGAGTGACCAGAGGGAGAGAGACCAGAGGGAGAGACCAGAGAGAGAGCTTAGATGCACTTCCATAATGCAGGGATGACGTGTCCTCTCTCCTTCCTGCTCCCTCTCCCCTCTCCTCTCTCCTCTCTCTCCTTCCTCCTCTCTCTCCTTCCTCCTCTCTCCTCTCTCTCCTTCCTTCTCTCTCTCCTTCCTCCTCTCTCTCCTTCCTCCTCTCTCCTCTCTCTCCTTCCTCCTCTCTCCTTCCTCCTCTCTCCTCTCTCTCCTTCCTCCTCTCTCCTCTCTCCTTCCTCCTCTCTCCTCTCTCTCCTTCCTCCTCTCTCCTCTCTCTCCTTCCTCCTCTCTCCTCTCTCTCCTTCCTCCTCTCTCCTCTCTCTCCTTCCTCCTCTCTCCTTCCTCCTCTCTCCTCTCTCCTCTCTCTCCTTCCTCCTCTCTCTCCTCTATGTTGTCTTCCCTCCCTAGGGTTTGGGTCCTTTGTCCTCGCAGCAGCAGGCGAAGCGCACCTTGTAGTCGAGGCAGCGCTGGGTCTTGCTGTTCTTACAGACGAAGCCCTCCAGGGGATTGAATCTAAAACAAAACATAATTAAACTCATGATGTGCAGCAGTGTGTGTTCCCCTGTAATAATAATCAATGCCGGGCCTGGCCAAGCCGAGCCGAGCCAGTGGAAACTGTTCAGGCTCCGCCCACTCACATGTAGAATAGGGACTGCTGATTGGTGGAGAGGGCGGGATGCTCCCCCACCGTGGTCACCACCTCGATCTGCTGTGGTCGGTCACAGATCTGCTTTGGATTCTGTTTCTGAAGATCAGCCAGAGTCTCCCAGTCCCCGGTCCCACTGGGGTCATCGCGGTCAAACCACTGGGTCCAGCACACTGCAACAACCAGACTTTTCATCAGGGACTCACCGACACCTCGGGTTTATCACCGTACGAGTATTTGCTGATAATGAAAACTGACACGTTTTATAAAGTACTTTGCAGACGCTCATTCTCTCCAAACACGGTGGTGATAAACTACTGTAGCCACAGCTGCCCTGGGGCAGACTGACAGAAGCCCCTCCCACCACCACCAACCATTCACACACACACCAGACTCATTCTAATGTGGGGGAAGTGTCTTGCCTAAGGACACAACCACAGTTAGGCACTTTACAGCCAGACTTAACCAGAGAGAGACCAGAGAGAGAGACCAGAGAGGAACCAGAGAGAGACCAGAGAGAGAGACCAGAGAGAGACCAGAGAGAGAGACCAGAGAGGAACCAGAGAGAGAGACCAGAGAGAGACCAGAGAGGAACCAGAGAGAGACCAGAGAGAGAGACCAGAGAGGAACCAGAGAGAGACCAGAGAGAGAGACCAGAGAGAGAGACCAGAGAGGAACCAGAGAGAGACCAGAGAGAGACCAGAGAGAGACCAGAGAGGGACCAGAGAGGGACCAGAGAGGGACCAGAGAGAGACCAGAGAGAGACCAGAGAGGAACCAGAGAGAGACCAGAGAGGGACCAGAGAGGGACCAGAGAGGGACCAGAGAGAGACCAGAGAGGAACCAGAGAGGGACCAGAGAGAGACCAGAGAGGAACCAGAGAGAGACCAGAGAGAGACCAGAGAGGAACCAGAGAGAGACCAGAGAGAGAGACCAGAGAGGGACCAGAGAGGGACCAGAGTGAGACCAGAGAGAGACCAGAGAGGGACCAGAGGGAGACCAGAGAGAGACCAGAGAGGAACCAGAGAGAGACCAGAGAGGGACCAGAGAGAGACCAGAAAGGAACCAGAGAGGGACCAGAGAGAGACCAGAGAGGGACCAGAGAGGGACCAGAGTGAGACCAGAGAGAGACCAGAGAGAGACCAGAGAGGAACCAGAGAGAGACCAGAGAGAGACCAGAGAGAGACCAGAGAGGAACCAGAGAGAGACCAGAGAGAGACCAGAGAGGAACCAGAGAGAGACCAGAGAGGGACCAGAGAGGGACCAGAGAGAGACCAGAGAGGAACCAGAGAGGGACCAGAGAGAGACCAGAGAGGAACCAGAGAGAGACCAGAGAGACACCAGAGAGGAACCAGAGAGAGACCAGAGAGAGAGACCAGAGAGGGACCAGAGAGGGACCAGAGAGGGACCAGAGAGGGACCAGAGAGAGACCAGAGAGGAACCAGAGAGGGACCAGAGTGAGACCAGAGAGAGACCAGAGAGGAACCAGAGAGTGACCAGAGAGGGACCAGAGAGAGACCAGAGAGAGACCAGAGAGGAACCAGAGAGGGACCAGAGAGAGACCAGAGAGGGACCAGAGAGGGACCAGAGTGAGACCAGAGAGACACCAGAGAGAGACCAGAGAGGGACCAGAGTGAGACCAGAGAGAGACCAGAGAGAGACCAGAGAGGAACCAGAGAGAGACCAGACAGAGACCAGAGAGGGACCAGAGAGAGACCAGAGAGGGACCAGAGAGACCAGAGAGAGACCAGAGAGAGACCAGAGAGAGACCAGAGTGAGACCAGAGAGAGACCAGAGTGAGACCAGAGAGAGACCAGAGAGAGACCAGAGAGGAACCAGAGAGAGACCAGAGTGAGACCAGAGAGAGACCAGAGAGAGACCAGAGAGGGACCAGAGAGAGACCAGAGAGAGACCAGAGAGGAACCAGAGAGGGACCAGAGAGAGACCAGAGAGGGACCAGAGAGGGACCAGAGTGAGACCAGAGAGAGACCAGAGAGAGACCAGAGAGGGACCAGAGTGAGACCAGAGAGAGACCAGAGAGGAACCAGAGAGAGACCAGAGAGAGACCAGAGAGAGACCAGAGAGAGACCAGAGAGAGACCAGAAAGGGACCAGAGAGAGACCAGAGAGAGACCAGAGAGAGACCAGAGAGGAACCAGAGAGGGACCAGAGAGAGACCAGAGAGGGACCAGAGAGGGACCAGAGTGAGACCAGAGAGACACCAGAGAGAGACCAGAGAGGGACCAGAGTGAGACCAGAGAGAGACCAGAGAGGAACCAGAGAGAGACCAGAGAGAGACCAGAGAGAGACCAGAGAGGAACCAGAGAGAGACCAGAGAGAGACCAGAGAGGGACCAGAGAGAGACCAGAGAGGGACCAGAGAGACCAGAGAGAGACCAGAGAGAGACCAGAGAGAGACCAGAGAGGGACCAGAGAGAGACCATAGAGGATAATGCAGAAGACGCAGTACATTGGGGTTTGCAGAACTCGGGAGGGCAGCTGAAGCGGACTTTGTAGTCGTTGCACTTTTTGTCCTTTTGGTCTTTGTTCTTGCAGTAAAAACCATTTACGTTCATCCTGAAAGAGAGAAAACAGATGCTCACCTTTGAAGAACAAGAAATAAACTTTAAAAAATATTATTCAAAGAAAACAGGAAGTGACTTTAGCATTTGATGTTTTGGAACCTGGTCTCTCTCTCTGGTCGCTCTCTGAACTCTCTCTCTGGTCTCTCTCTGGTCTCTCTCTGGTCTCTCTCTGGTCTCTCTCTGGTCTCTCTCTGGTCTATCTCTGGTCTCTCTCTTTTCTCTCTCTCTGGTCTCTGTTCTCTCTCTGGTCTCTCTTTGGTCTCTCTCTCTGGTCTCTGGTCTCTCTCTCTAGTCTCTCTCTGGTCTCTCTCTGGTCTCTCTCTCTAGTCTCTCTCTGGTCTCTCTCTGGTCTCTGGTCTCTCTCTGGTCTCTCTCTGGTCTCTCTCTCTGGTCTCTCTCTCTGGTCTCTCTCTGGTCTCTCTCTGGTCTCTCTCTGGTCTCTCTCTCTGGTCTCTCTCTCTAGTCTCTCTCTGGTCTCTGGTCTCTCTCTGGTCTCTCTCTGGTCTCTCTCTGGTCTCTCTGCTTACACCACAGTATCTCCAGCAGCTGCTGGGGTCTCTCCCGCCAGAGTCAGGGCCTCCACGTCCACTGGCTTGGGACACACATCATCCGGGGATTCCTCCAGGAGGTCGGCCAGGGTCTCAAAGTCCCCCTCCCCTGAGGGGTCGCCCCGGTCCAGCCACTTGGTCCAACAGCCTGAGAGCAATCAGATTTTTAATCATCTATACTTTAATTAGTTTTCTGTGTTTTCTTTATTCTACTCACGTGGTTCACTGAGCACTGGATATGGATCAGGCACTGGAGATTAAAAAGAAAGAAACAAAAGTGTCAATCATCACACTACTGCCTGTAACGTCTGGGTCTGGTCCCTGTGTTTGAGATTACAATCGGTTGAATTCCATCCGACCAATCAGAGAGCGCGGGAGGCGGGTGTTGTAGTTAGATGTGGGTGACGTCAGAGTTTGCGCCGATCGAGCAGGTTGTAGTTTGGTGAAGAATGTGATGGTAAAATAATCTGTTCTGGTTCTATCAAGAAACTGAAGCCGGAGCAAGAGGAATATTTAACAAATGTAATCTCTGCAAAGATTGTGGCGCTGCTCCCCACGGGCTCCGTTAGCGGCAAAGGAGATGGCTAAAGCTAGGCTAAATGCTAAAGCTAGGCTAAGTGCTAAATGCTAACGACTCACTCGGGCTCATGTCATACGTCAAACTCAGATCCAATCGTTTTAATCTGCAAAAGGAGTTAACCCCTCCCACCTGTTAAAGGAGTCAATCCAGACCTTAGCACTAATGAAATGAGTACCATGGTGTGGTAAGACCAGGCTAATACTATTCTATTCAATTCAATTTTCTATTGTCCTAAAGCACTGCAGGAGAGAGTGGATCTACAGCCTCAGTCCTGGGTCTACAGCCTCAGTCCTGGGTCTACAGCCTCAGTCCTGGATCTACAGCCTCAGTCCTGGATCTACAGCCTCAGTCCTGGGTCTACAGCCTCAGTCCTGGGTCTACAGCCTCAGTCCTGGATCTACAGCCTCAGTCCTGGATCTACAGCTTCAGTCCTGGATCTACAGCCTCAGTCCTGGGTCTACAGCCTCAGTCCTGGGTCTACAGCCTCAGTCCTGAGACTTAACCAGAGAGGAACCAGAGAGAGACCAGAGAGGAACCAGAGAGACTAGAGAGAGACCAGAGAGAGAGACCAGAGAGAACAGAGAGGAACCAGAGAGAGACCAGAGAGGGACCAGAGAGAGACCAGAGAGAGACCAGAGAGAGACCAGAGAGAGACCAGAGAGAGACCAGAGAGAGACCAGAGAGAGAGACCAGAGAGGGACCAGAGAGGGACCAGAGAGAGACCAGAGAGAACAGAGAGGAACCAGAGAGAGACCAGAGAGGGACCAGAGAGAGACCATAGAGGATAATGCAGAAGACGCAGTACATTGGGGTTTGCAGAACTCGGGAGGGCAGCTGAAGCGGACTTTGTAGTCGTTGCACTTTTTGTCCTTTTGGTCTTTGTTCTTGCAGTAAAAACCCTCATTTACGTTCATCCTGAAAGAGAGAAAACAGATGCTCACCTTTGAAGAACGAGAAATAAACTTTAAAACATATTATTCAAAGAAAACAGGAAGTGACTTTAGCATTTGATGTTTTGGAACCTGGTCTCTCTCTCTGGTCTCTTTCTGGTCTCTCTCTCTGGTCTCTCTCTGGTCTCTCTCTGGTCTCTCTCTGGTCTCTCTCTGGTCTATCTCTGGTCTCTCTCTGGTCTATCTCTGGTCTCTCTCTTTTCTCTCTCTGGTCTATCTCTGGTCTCTCTCTGGTCTTTCTCTGGTCTCTCTTTGGTCTCTCTCTCTGGTCTCTCTCTCTGGTCTCTCTCTGGTCTCTCTCTGGTCTCTCTCTTTTCTCTCTCTGGTCTATCTCTGGTCTCTCTCTGGTCTTTCTCTGGTCTCTCTTTGGTCTCTCTCTCTGGTCTCTCTCTCTGGTCTCTCTCTGGTCTCTCTCTGGTCTCTCTCTCTGGTCTCTCTCTGGTCTCTCTCTGGTCTCTCTCTGGTCTCTCTCTGGTCTCTCTCTGGTCTTTCTCTGGTCTCTCTTTGGTCTCTCTCTCTGGTCTCTCTCTGGTCTCTCTCTCTAGTCTCTCTCTGGTCTCTCTCTGGTCTCTGGTCTCTCTCTGGTCTCTCTCTGGGCTCTCTCTCTGGTCTATCTCTCTGGTCTCTCTCTGGTCTCTCTCTGGTCTCTCTCTGGTCTCTCTCTCTGGTCTCTCTCTGGTCTCTCTCTGGTCTCTCTCTGGTCTCTCTCTGGTCTCTCTCTGGTCTCTCTCTGGTCTTTTTCTGGTCTCTCTCTGGTCTCTCTCTGGTCTCTCTCTGGTCTATCTCTGGTCTCTCTCTGGTCTTTCTCTGGTCTCTCTTTGGTCTCTCTCTGGTCTCTCTCTGATCTCTCTCTAGTCTCTCTCTGGTCTCTCTCTGGTCTCTCTCTGGTCTCTCTCTCTGGTCTCTCTCTGGTCTCTCTCTGGTCTATCTCTGGTCTCTCTCTGGTCTTTCTCTGGTCTCTCTTTGGTCTCTCTCTGGTCTCTCTCTGATCTCTCTCTGGTCTCTCTCTCTAGTCTCTCTCTGGTCTCTCTCTGGTCTCTCTCTGGTCTCTCTCTCTGGTCTCTCTCTGGTCTCTCTCTGGTCTCTCTCTGGTCTCTCTCTCTAGTCTCTCTCTGGTCTCTCTTTGGTCTCTCTCTGGTCTCTCTCTGGTCTCTCTCTGGTCTCTCTCTCTGGTCTCTCTCTGGTCTCTCTCTCTAGTCTCTCTCTGGTCTCTGGTCTCTGGTCTCTCTCTGGTCTCTCTCTGGTCTCTCTCTCTGGTCTCTCTCTCTAGTCTCTCTCTGGTCTCTCTCTGGTCTCTCTCTCTAGTCTCTCTCTGGTCTCTCTCTGGTCTCTGGTCTCTCTCTGGTCTCTCTCTGGTCTCTCTCTCTGGTCTCTCTCTCTAGTCTCTCTCTGGTCTCTCTCTGGTCTCTCTCTGGTCTCTCTCTGGTCTCTCTCTCTGGTCTCTCTCTCTGGTCTCTCTCTCTAGTCTCTCTCTGGTCTCTGGTCTCTCTCTGGTCTCTCTCTGGTCTCTCTCTCTGGTCTCTCTCTCTGGTCTCTCTCTGGTCTCTCTCTGGTCTCTCTCTGGTCTCTCTCTCTGGTCTCTCTCTGGTCTCTCTCTGGTCTCTCTCTGGTCTCTCTCTGGTCTCTCTCTCTGGTCTCTCTCTGGTCTCTCTCTCTGGTCTCTCTCTGGTCTCTCTCTCTGGTCTCTGTTCTCTCTCTGGTCTCTCTTTGGTCTCTCTCTCTGGTCTCTGGTCTCTCTCTCTAGTCTCTCTCTGGTCTCTCTCTGGTCTCTCTCTCTAGTCTCTCTCTGGTCTCTCTCTGGTCTCTGGTCTCTCTCTGGTCTCTCTCTGGTCTCTCTCTCTGGTCTCTCTCTCTGGTCTCTCTCTGGTCTCTCTCTGGTCTCTCTCTGGTCTCTCTCTCTGGTCTCTCTCTCTAGTCTCTCTCTGGTCTCTGGTCTCTCTCTGGTCTCTCTCTGGTCTCTCTCTGGTCTCTCTGCTTACACCACAGTATCTCCGGCAACTGCTGGGGTCTTTCCCGCCAGAGTCAGGGCCTCCACGTCCACTGGCTCGGGACACACATCATCCGGGGATTCCTCCAGGAGGTCGGCCAGGGTCTCAAAGTCCCCCTCCCCTGAGGGGTCGTCCCGGTCCAGCCACTTGGTCCAACAGCCTGAGAGCAATCAGATTTTTAATCATCTATACTTTAATTAGTTTTCTGTGTTTTCTTTATTCTACTCACGTGGTTCACTGAGCTTGAGCACTGGAAGTGGATCAGGCACTGGAGATTAAAAAGAAAGAAACAAAAGTGTCAATCATCACACTACTGCCTGTAACGTCTGGGTCTGGTCCCTGTGTTTGAGATTACAATCGGTTGAATTCCATCCGACCAATCAGAGAGCGCGGGAGGCGGGTGTTGTAGTTAGATGTGGGTGACGTCAGAGTTTGCGCCGATCGAGCAGGTTGTAGTTTGGTGAAGAATGTGATGGTAAAATAATCTGTTCTGGTTCTATCAAGAAACTGAAGCCGGAGCAAGAGGAATATTTAACAAATGTAATCTCTGCAAAGATTGTGGCGCTGCTCCCCACGGGCTCCGTTAGCGGCAAAGGAGATGGCTAAAGCTAGGCTAAATGCTAAAGTTAGGCTAAGTGCTAAATGCTAACGACTCACTCGGGCTCATTTCATACGTCAAACTCAGATCCAATCGTTTTAATCTGCAAAAGGAGTTAACCCCTCCCACCTGTTAAAGGAGTCAATCCAGACCTTAGCACTAATGAAATGAGTACCATGGTGTGGTAAGACCAGGCTAATACTATTCCATCCATCCATCCATTTTCTTCCGCTTTATCCGTTGCCGGGTCGCGGGGGCAGCAGTCTAAGCAGAGACGCCCAGACTTCCCTATCCACACACACCTCCTCCAGCTCGTCCGGGGGGACCCCAAGGCGTTCCCAGGCCAGCTGAGAGACATAGTCCCTCCAGCGTGTCCTGGGTCTTCCCCGGGGCCTCCTCCCGGTGGGACGTGCCCGGAACACCTCCCCAGGAAGGCGTCCAGGAGGCATCCTGAACAGATGCCCGAGCCACCTCAACTGGTTCCTCTCGACGTGGAGAAGCAGCGGCTCTACTCCGAGCTCCTCCCGTGTGACTGAGCTCCTCACCCTATCTCTAAGGGAGCAGCCACTCTGCGGAGAAAGCTCATTTCGACCGCTTGTATCCACGATCTCGTTCTTTCGGTCATTACCCAAAGCTCATGACCATAGGTGAGGGTGGGAACGAAGATTGACCGGTAAATCGAGAGCTTCGCCTTTCGGCTCAGCTCCCTCTTCACCACAACGGTCCGATACAGCTCTGACTGCAGACGCTGCTCCCTCTTTACCACAACGGTCCGATACAGCTCTGACTGCAGACGCTGCTCCCTCTTTACCACAACGGTCCGATACAGAGACCGCATCACTGCGCACGCTGCACCGATCCGCCTGTCAATCTCACGCTCCATTCTTCCCTCACTCGTGAACAAGACCCCGAGATACTTGAACTCCTCCACTTGAGGACACGCGAGGACACGCGGTCGAAGGTCAGATGATACGACAACAAAGTCGATCATCGACCTCCGGCCTAGGGTGTCCTGGTGCCACGTGCACTGGTGGACACCCTTGTGCTCGAACATGGTGTTCGTGATGGACAGGCCGTGACTGGCACAGAAGTCCAACAACTGAACACCGCTCGGGTTCAGATCAGGGGGGCCGCTCTTCCCGATCACCCCTCTCCAAGTGTCACTGGCATTTCCCACATGGGCGTTGAAGTCCCCCAGGAGAATAACGGAGTCCCCGGGCGGTGCACTGTCCAGTACCCCTCCCAAGGACTCCAAGAAGGCCGGGTACTCTGCACTGCTGTTAGGCCCGTAGGCCGTCACAACAGTGAGAGACTTGTCCCCCACCCGGAGGCGGAGGGACGCGACCCTCTCATTCACCGGGGAGAACTCCAACACGTGGCGGCTGAGATGGGGGGCAATGAGAATGGCCACCCCAGCTCGCCGCCTCTCCCCGCGGGAAACACCAGAAAAGTGGAGCGTCCAACCCCTCTCAAGGAGTTGGGTTCCAGAGCCCAAGCTGTGTGTGGAGGTGAGGCCGACTATCTCTAGTCGGTATCGCTCAACCTCCCCCACGAGCTCGGGCTCCTTCCCCCCCAGTGAGGTGACGTTCCACGTCCCAAGAGCCAGATGTTGGGTGTGTGGACTGGGTCGTCGAGGTCTCCGCCTTCGACTGCTGCCCAGTCCTCGCTGCACCACGCCACCACGGACCCCTCTGCAGGTGGTGGGCCCACAGGAGGGGCTGAGCCCGGCCGGGCCCCGTGGGCTAAGGCCCGGCCACCAGGCGCTCGCTTGCGAGCCCCGACCCCAGGCCTGGTTCCAGGGTGGGGCCCCGGCTGCGCCATGCCGGGCGACGTCACGGTTTTCGTTGTCGTGCTGTCCATGGTTGGCTTCGATACTATTCTATTCAATTCAATTTTCTATTGTCCTAAAGCACTGCAGGAGAGAGTGGATCTACAGCCTCAGTCCTGGGTCTACAGTCTCAGTCCTGGGACTTAACCAGAGAGAGACCAGAGAGAGAGACCAGAAAGAGACCAGAGAGAGACCAGAGAGGAACCAGAGAGAGACCAGAGAGGAACCAGAGAGACTAGAGAGAGACCAGAGAGAGAGACCAGAGAGAGACCAGAGAGAGAGACCAGAGAGAGACCAGAGAGAGACCAGAGAGGAACCAGAGAGGGACCAGAGAGAGACCAGAGAGGAACCAGAGAGGGACCAGAGGTAGACCAGAGAGAGACCAGAGAGGAACCAGAGAGAGACCAGAGAGAGACCAGAGAGGAACCAGAGAGGGACCAGAGAGAGACCAGAGAGGGACCAGAGAGAGACCAGAGAGAGACCAGAGAGGAACCAGAGAGAGACCAGAGAGAGACCAGAGAGGAACCAGAGAGGGACCAGAGGGAGACCAGAGAGAGACCAGAGAGAGACCAGAGAGAGACCAGAGAGGGACCAGAGAGGAACCAGAGAGAGACCAGAGAGAGACCAGAGAGAGACCATAGAGGAACCAGAGAGAGACCAGAGAGGAACCAGAGAGAGACCAGAGAGGAACCAGAGAGAGACCAGAGAGGGACCAGAGAGAGACCAGAGAGGAACCAGAGAGGGACCAGAGAGAGACCAGAGAGGAACCAGAGAGAGACCAGAGAGAGACCAGAGAGAGACCATAGAGAGACCAGAGAGAGAGACCAGAGAGAGAGACCAGAGAGAGACCAGAGAGAGAGACCAGAGAGAGAGACCAGAGAGAGAGACCAGAGAGAGACCAGAGAGAGAGAGACCAGAGAGAGAGACCAGAGAGAGACCAGAGAGACCAGAGAGAGACCAGAGAGAGAGACCAGAGAGGGACCAGAGGGAGACCAGAGAGAGACCAGAGAGAGACCAGAGAGAGAGACCAGAGAGAGACCAGAGAGAGAGACCAGAGAGAGAGACCAGAGAGGAACCAGAGAGGGACCAGAGGGAGACCAGAGAGAGACCAGAGAGAGACCAGAGAGAGAGACCAGAGAGAGAGACCAGAGAGAGAGACCAGAGAGAGAGACCAGAGAGAGACCAGAGAGAGACCAGAGAGAGAGACCAGAGAGGGACCAGAGAGGGACCAGAGAGAGACCAGAGAGAGACCAGAGAGAGACCAGAGAGAGACCAGAGAGGGACCAGAGAGAGACCAGAGAGAGACCAGAGAGAGACCAGAGAGAGAGACCAGAGAGAGACCAGAGAGAGAGAGACCAGAGAGAGAGACCAGAGAGAGACCAGAGAGAGACCAGAGAGAGAGACCAGAGAGAGAGACCAGAGAGAGACCAGAGAGAGACCAGAGAGGAACCAGAGAGAGACCAGAGAGAGACCAGAGAGAGAGACCAGAGAGAGACCAGAGAGAGACCAGAGAGAGAGACCAGTCCCCAGTTGCAGAGGGGTCATCGCGGTTGAACCACCTGGTCCAGCAGCCTGAGCCAAACCACAAAAGAAATTAAACATTTTTGACAATTTTCTATTTGAACTAATTTACTTACGTTGGTTTGTGGGTTGGACTGGATCTGGAATAGAAGCAACAGTTTAAGAATAAAGAAAGTACATTATTAAAGGGGATATAAAGTGCTGGTACTACTCACAGAATGGTTTGAGTGGAAGTTGGGAGAGTTCTGATTTATTTTGTGCACTTCCAGCTAAAGAGAGAGACCATGATGTTGAATTAATGATTTAAATGAACATTTGTCACAATTCACCCACTTCTAGTTATTTTTCAGTAGTCCACTGACTTCTACCTTGTTTCAAAAAGGCGTACCCTAACCTACTCCACCCTACTCTACCCTACTCTACTCTACTCTACTCTACTCTACTCTACCCTACTCTACTTTACCCTACTCTACTCTACTCTACCCTACTCTACCCTACTCTACCCTACTCTACTCTACTCTACTCTACCCTACTCTACTTTACCCTACTCTACTCTACTCTACCCTACTCTACTCTACTTTACCCTACCCTTCTCTACTCTACTCTACTCTACTTTACCCTACTCTACTCTACTCTACCCTACTCTACTCTACTTTACCCTACCCTTCTCTACTCTACTTTACCCTTCTCTACTCTACTCTACTTTACCCTACTCTACCCTACTCTACCCTACTCTACTCTACTTTACCCTACCCTTCTCTACTCTACTTTACCCTTCTCTACTCTACTCTACTTTACCCTACTCTACCCTACTCTACTCTACTCTACTCTACTCTACCCTACTCTACTTTACCCTACTCTACTCTACTCTACCCTACTCTACTCTACTTTACCCTACCCTTCTCTACTCTACTCTACTCTACCCTACTCTACTTTACTCTACCCTACTCTACTCTACTTTACCCTACCCTTCTCTACTCTACTCTACTTTACCCTACTCTACTCTACTCTACCCTACTCTACTCTACTTTACCCTACCCTTCTCTACTCTACTCTACTTTACCCTTCTCTACTCTACTCTACTTTACCCTTCTCTACTCTACTCTACTTTACCCTACTCTACTTTCCCCTACCCTACTCTACCCCAGTGTTTTTCAACATTTTTAGAGCCAAGGCACACTTTTTTCATTGAAAAACTCACAGCACCAGGAGAAAAAGTAAAAATATCTTCTCTGTAGCCTATATTTACGATATAAAGTCATTCTTATCAAAGTGCTTGAATCCAGACCTTGACATTAAGCTTGGTTTAATATTGCTCAATACAATGAGTAGTTACAATGAGTTGTGCAAAGAATTTGGGAATAAAGGGGCAATAACTGTGGGAGAAAAAACATAGAAAAATCCACTCTCAGCCCAAAAAGTCCAATAATGACTCAGAGGGCTCTTATGTGTGAAAAATAATGATTTATCTGTTTGATTTGTTCACAACATTTTACTTTTTGCACAAATAACATACATTTTTTATGCATGGGGAAAATTTAGGTATCCGAGCTTTAAATTCAGGAGTTTTGCGCTTCGGCAAGAGACACGAGAGAGACACGGGGAGACACAGGAGCTGGTCCTGAACCGAGTCAAGGACCGCGCAGATGGTTCTGTCCGCGACTCCATGGTTCTGTCCACGTGACTAGGGTCCGCGTGCGGCACCATGTTACGGATGTGCGTTCGCTGAGCTGTTGTCAAAGCGGCTGTCAGTACAGCAGAGCAGAGGATGTGAATCCTGTTCAGAAAAGGCATAATTCCTTTTCAAAAACGTCTCAATCACTTTCACTTCTCACTCGCCAAAATACTCCCCGCTGCCTCTTACGTTGGTTGGTCGCGTCCAATTCTTACATTTCTTGCCACCCAGCTACTTGTTAACATTTGGTGGTTGAATCCAATTCTTAAATGTCAAAGTACTTGGCTATCTGCTGCCACCTACTGGCCTGAAAAAGTATTACGTGGTAACTATACAGCTCAAGACAGGTTCGCGCTCGGCAAAAGTGAATGCAGTTATTTTTTTAATTTCTCAAGGCACACCAGAAAATATCATACGGCAAACTAGTGTGCCGCAGCACAGCTGTTGAATAACACTGCTCTACTCTACTCTACCCTACTCTACTCTACCCTACTCTACTCTACCCTACTCTACTCTACCCTACTCTACTCTACCCTACCCTTCTCTTCTCTTCCTTCATGAAACTGTAGTCATAAAAACGTACCAGAAATGAGTCCCACAAAAACGGCAAGTCCCAACTGCAAAACACAGATTATTAACAAATGTTTTTGTAGACCATGAAACAACACACCAGCGTTGAGACCAGAGAGAAACCAGAAAGAGACCAGAAAGAGAGAAACCAGAGAAAGAGAAATCAGAGAGAGACCAAAGAGAGACCAGAGAGAGAGAGAGACCATAAAGAGACCAGAGAGAGAGAGAGACCAGAGAGAGACCAGAGAGAGACCAGAAAGAGAGAAACCAGAGAAAGAGAAATCAGAGAGAGACCAGAGAGAGACCATAAAGAGACCAGAGAGACCAGAGAGAGACCAGAGAGAGACCAGAGAGAGACCAGAGAGAGAGACCAGAAAGAGAGAAACCAGAGAAAGAGAAATCAGAGAGAGACCATAAAGAGACCAGAGAGAGAGAGAGACCATAAAGCGACCAGACATCTAAACTCACCATTGCTCTCATGGTTGCAGATCGACCTGTGAGAGAACAGACAGAAAGTGTTGAAAAAACAACCTCACAATTACTCATAAAACATTTTCTCTAAAACCTTTCTTACCCGAGTGAAGTTCAAAGCCCTTCTGAGCTCGTGCTGGTCTTTCCCGCTCATATATACACAAACCCTACAGCTATTGTCGTTTGCTAACGACCCGGAGACAAAAGGCTGGGCATATGGGCCTTGTCTGTGTCCGGTTTCAAACCGTTGCACCTGAGATATGTGAATGTGACTTTGGAAAGTCCTATTGTCGAGTAAGTAAATGAGTAATGTTTATTTATAGCACATTATACAGACCAAGGTCACCCAAAGCGCTTTACAATGTTCAGATAGTTTTCCATTTTCTCCTCACGATGATGACAGAAGGACCAAACACCCTCCATTCACTCAGTTCTGACACTCAGACCTATTGTACATGTTTTTAGTGGTAGGAATTCTGGCTCTCAACTGATGTAATTGTCATGTGGTGAGGTGAATCAAGGACCCAAAATGCTGGAATACCAAAATAAAAATTATTTAATGACGAAGAAGCAGAAGTGGAGGAGAAAAAAACCCTCAAAATCCAAAGGCACGAGGAACACAGATCCATTGTATTGTCAACACCTGTTGTGTTGACAATACAATGGACCAGCAACAAAGGGAGAGGAGCACAGGTACATATAGACACAGAGATACAGGTGAAACAGATCAGGGCGGGGCAGACAGTCAACACTGGGAAAAACAGGACAGGAAGTCACACTAAAGCCAAACCACAGAGAACAGATGTCAAGATAAAACCAAAGTACAAAATAACAAAACCACACCATGACAGTAATTACAGTTTTAACCACTAGATGTCACCAGAACACCCCAACTCGCTGCAGACGTGTGTGAGACTGGGATGGGTTTATACCACAGGCTCAGAGTGACGTCACACATCACTCCAGAGCCAATGAGAGGCCAGGACCAAATCTGAATGTATGTGGGGCGACAGTGGCTCAGTTGTAGAGCATTGGCCTTTGAGCCCGAACTGCATGACTCCCACTGATGACTGCTGTTGTTGTGTCCTTGGACAATACACCTCTGTGAACAGCAGGTGCCACAGTGGGGCGGCTGCGGCTGTAAAGTGCCAAACTGTGGTTGTGTCCTTAGGCAAGACACTTCCCCCACATTAGAATGAGTCTGGTGTGTGTGTGAGTGGTTGGTGGTGGTGGGAGGGGCTTCTGTCAGTCTGCCCCAGGGCAGCTGTGGCTACAGTAGTTTATCACCACCGTGTTTGGAGAAAGAATAATGACATGTAAAGTGTCTTTGAGGGTCCATTATATAAAACCAATGCATTATTATTATTATTATTAGGGACCTGGGGCCGTATTCCTAAAGATTCTGCTAAGAGTTGCCCTAGTGGCCAAATTGTAAGACTTTTCTTAGAATCTTGACCTACTCTTAGAATTTCCCCTAAAAGTGAGGAGTAGATCCTAGTTAAGAAAAAAGCTATTCCTAAAGAATCCCAGCTCTTAAGAGAGCTCCTGAGGTGAGATCTCTGAAGAGCAGAGAGGAGGACTTTTAGCAACTTCAGAGTTCCCTAAGAGACAAAATGGTGGACGGTAGAAGCAGGAGAAACATTCTATACACTGGAGGACAGTGGATCAGTGTAATAGGGTTTCCTTAATGCAGTTTCACAGCCTTTACTAATCCTAACGTTATCATTATCACCATTTAAACATATTATATTTATATGAGCTCATGTTATGTGTGTGAATATCTGTTGAATATCTGTTAAATATATGTTGAATATCTGTTGAATATGTGATGAATATGTGATGAATATGTGTTATATACGTCTTATATGCGTGTTATATATGTGTTATATACGTGTTATATACGTGTTATATTCGTGTTATATACGTGTTATATGCGTGTTATATACGTGTTATATACGTGTTATATACATGTTATGTACGTGTTATGTACGTGTTATGTACGTGTTATGTACGTGTTATGTACGTGTTATGTACGTGTTATATGCGTGTTACGTACGTATTACGTACGTGTTACGTACGTGTTACGTACGTGTTACGTACGTGTTACGTACGTGTTATGTACGTGTTATATACGTGTTATATGCGTGTTACATACGTATTACGTACGTGTTACGTACGTGTTACGTACGTGTTATGTACGTGTTATGTACGTGTTATGTACGTGTTACGTACGTGTTATGTACGTGTTATATACGTGTTATATTCGTGTTATATACGTGTTATATGCGTGTTATATACGTGTTATATACGTGTTATATGTGTGTTATATACATGTTATATACATGTAATATACATGTTATATACGTGTTATATACGTGTGATGAATTGGTGCTGAGCCAGCTCTGATGATGTGGTGTAAAAGTCTAACTATTCATTTAACTTTGATATTTCTACCTTTTCTGAATATTATTTACAATGACACAGTCTTCCTAAGATTAGATTCCATGATTGAGTTTGTTCTTTTTAGGGCCTTTATTTTGCCCATTATCACCTAAAATATGTTTTCTCTAACTTTTAGGATCAACCAATCACAGCGTCTGAAATGATGACTCAATAGGGTCGGCCACGGCCCCTCACTAAGATAAGAGTTGTTGTTAATTCCTTGCACAGAGTTCTCTGAGAATGTTCTGGAATAACTTTTAAGCTAAGCTAGGAGTTTTTAGGTTAAGTTAGGAGCTCTCTGAGAGGACTCTGAGAATCTTTAGGCGTACGGTCTGAAAACTAGCTGTTAGCTACGGCCAATGAAGTTAGCATCGGTTCCTGTAACAATGCTTCCTGTTCTGTCCTTATCAAATAAACACATAATAATAATAATAATGTAGTGCCACCAAAAAGGTAGAGAGGGCGCCACAGAAATGGTTTTAGGCTCAAAAGTGAGATTTTATCTAATTTGCACTAAAATGTCAAAAACCAGGACATGAGCAAAAAACATATTTTTGCAGTTTTTGTGTTAAAAAAGTAGATTTGCTTTAGTTGTCCTTAAAGCATCACTGATGGTGGTTCGTATCATCCGTGTCTAATCGGTGACATCTAGTGGCCAAAGCTTGTATTGTTGCAGACAGTAGGATAAACAACCAAAGCGTAGAAAGGAGTAATGTTTATTTGTATAGTGCAGATGAATCAAACGTCAGGCCAATAAGTGAAGTAACAATCTCCACAGACACAAAGTTTGAGGACTGTGTTTTATCATCAAAACATAAAAACAAAGTTATAACAAGCATCAGATTAATGAAGCTACTTTCAACAGGACAGTGGCACAAACATGATGCTCACAGGGGGCGGGGCTTCAAGTTTAAATACTGTACAATATTGGGAAAAGATTTGTGAATGAATGATTTTGTAGTAAATCTGGTAAACCTCTGATAAAGAATGTTTGTCTCTGCTTTGTGTTTGCAGGATGTTTCCCCCGCGGCCCCGTCCTGTGTTTCTATAAACGTGGTTTTAAAATGTGTTGCCACAAACTAATTATTTGTTTCTGTAAAAGTGGGTCTGGTTTCACAAAGTTTGGTTTTGCGTTACTAGCGATGGCTAAAGTCTTTAGGGACCATCAGGAGAAGCCTTGGACCATCAGTGAGTGTTTCTTCTCGAGGGGGAATGCTGACAACAAGTCCCATCAAACTTGTGCATCTGTGTTTGTTTGAGTCCCACTGACCATGAAGAGCAAAGCCACAGAGCATAAAAGTACAGAGTATATGATCCTCATCCGCCCCATACGGCTGCATTCACTTTCCCAAACCTGGATATTGGTGCTGTGGATATTGATCCTGTATCTCAGCTCTGCCACTGCCGCAGCCTGCCATAGTTTTACACACGGACAAGACGGCTGTGTGCGGCTGGATCCAGCTCCAACAGGAAAGAGCACAGAGAATATCCACATTTACAAAGTAAACTCAGTCCATGCAGACGTCATGCTGATCATATCACTAACAGGTCACTTCATGACTGTAGCTTTGATGGTCATGCTCCGGCCTCTGTGTCGCTCAAATGCAAAGGAAAGTTGTATTGGACTCATTCATGCTTCTCCCTCATCGTGGGAAGAAAACAAAGGCAAACTGAAAAGTGACTTAATGCACACTCAGGGTGTTTGTCCGAGCTCCGCTGAGGAGTCCAAAGGCAAAGTAAACATCTGATATGAAGGTCTCCGCTGTGCTCCTGAGCTTAGAGCTTAGAAAAGTTGGGCTTAGCACCAAAAGCAGAAGCTCTTACACACAGATCTGAAGACTGAGCCCACTGTGCGCTTCTGCAGGGGCCTCTCCACATGTCGACGGATGCTCTCAAGGACCTGGATGTTGTAGTCGGGCAGGAGCTGGGCGCTCTGACTCACCGCACTCTTTCCTCTCCATCTGCACAGGTCTTTGTACACGGCCTGTGCAATGGTCTCCACACTGTCTTTGTTCAGCTCCACCTGGATGTTCCATGAGGACTTCTCCTGCTCCAACAGTTCCATCAACTCTTTCCCAAAAGCTGTCACCTGGTCCATGTTTGTGGAGCGTAAGACTAAAGAGGACACTTCATACAGCAGCCCACCCCAGCGCACAGTGTCAGTCTGTGTGTTTGCAAAGTGCTGTGAGGAGAAGCTGCTCTTCACTTCTCTCTCTGCTCCACTCGCAGCTGTTTCCTTTAGTCCTGGATCTGGACTCGTGGAGAGGTTTTCCTGCTGGTCCTGCTCCTGGTCCTGGGTCTTTGAGGCTACGATCCGTCGTATTTTTCGGAGACTAGTCTTGACAGGGTTATCCTCCTGCTGCAGTTGGAGGCAAAGCCATGTGCTGATGTCCTCCATGACAGACTCAATGTGAGCCTCTGCTAGTCTCCTGCAGCTGCTGCGGCTGCTGCGGCGTCCTTTCCGCGGTGCCAGATTCTCAGTAACAGTGCGTGTGATCTGGTCTTTCAGCTCTTGGTACTTTCCTGCACTCAAACCCTGAGACAGCCGCTCATAAAGGTCCGTCTCTGTGTCGTCTGAAACCAGTTCTTGCAGAAGAGGAGAAACTACGTCCATCATCTCCAGCACTGACAACGTGTCTCTTGTGCCTGGGATCTGGAGACACAAGTGACTCAATGCAGAGTAGAGTCTAGTTTTAGCTCGACACAGGACCAGGACAGACTTGATTTTATGAGAGGTCTCCTGTCGTTTGGTCTTTTTGAGTTAAAAGATAAGAATGGCTTCACTTTTGATAAAAGCACGATTTTACACGATTTTAAAACGCCATTAACTTGTTTGTGAAGTGGAGGCTCAAGGGAAATATGCTGGTTTGAGGAGACATACGGGAAAGATTCCGGTCAGAGAATTAGGGTTCAGAGGAGGGAGATATTCTGTTGTAGCTTACAGTAGGTCCCATTTCGTTTTGTCGCCTTTCACGCGTGAATCACACGAGACTCACGTGTGATTCACGCGTCTTTTATTTGTTTTTTCCCAGTGATGCTGCAATGACCCAAACAACCACCAGGTGGCACTTGTGAGCAGAGAACATTGGCTTCTCACTGCTCATTATTCTCTCTTCACCAGACGATTTACTGTGGTTATAGCTCATTGATAAGGAGATGGACTGTGGTGCCAGAGGACTTAGGTTCAAGTACAGGCTGAGACACTTTTGATTTTGTTAACGTTTACATTTTTTCTAAAACATAGAAGGTCCAATGCCCCAGAAAAAAATAATAATAACCACACACGTTTATTGCAGTAATTTTTGTTAATACTTTTCACGAGGAGTTAGTGGACATGTGTGCCTTTAATATGAGCGGCCTTTGTGGGAATGGTTATATTCAAAGTATTAGAGTAAAATGAGTTTGTAAAACACCTGTGGCGCAGCGACGCGAAGCAGGAGCCGTAGTTCTGAGCGGAGCCAGAGCAGAGGTCTCCAGAGATCAGAGAAGTATTTGGTACTGGCTCACTCAGATTCAGAGACACGCAGGTCTCCAGTGAAGCAGATACAGACATTATTAGTGACAGGAGTCCGCGCCACAATAGTCCACAGTCACCCACAGTTTACGTCCTCCGTGTGGCCACCGCGGTAAAGAGGTCCGGCTTTTTGGAGTCAGCGGTAAAGCGGTCCGCACATTAAAAGCGGATAGCCTCTTTATGCTGTTAATTACAGCAACATTGGAAAGAGAAGACGTGGGGATGAGCCGCCACAATGCACTGTTTAACATAAAGCGGCTATTAGTATTAGATAGCAATATGGCCTACGTGCAGGACTCTACAAGGACTCCATGTTATGACTATGATATGACTGTCTCTTTGTGACACGTATGTCTTTCGATGTGTGACGTGACAATGACTATATAAACTGTGTACTGCCTTTATTCTGTCTGAGAGAAAGAAACAGAGTAAACCAGTGGAACTTGAGAGAAACTTAAATAAACTTCCAGAGTTTGGCGCACCACGATCCGTCTCTGTCTGATTCATCCCTGACAGATTTGGTGGAGAATGCGCGGCTCGGTTTGTGCCATTCTCTGGATTGTTTTGGGGGAGTTTGCTCTGTTTCTTTTCCTCTGCGTGAGAGATCGGCATGCTGTGTCTGGGAGCGGAGATTCCAGCAGGCTGGAAGAGCTGTTCCTGGATGCTTCTTGTCGCTTCTGTCACTTTTGTTTTTTAAATTGAATATTCCGACGCGGAAAAGAGGTTGGCAGACCTCTCGGACAGTCCTTGGAACCGGTTTGACAAGAATAAGGTAAGCAGACACCTTTTTATATGTAAAGTCTGCATAATTGGATATTAGCTAAATTTTGGTCTGTTTTTGGGGTCTGTCAAACTCTCTAAATTGTATTTGAGAAGAAGTCTCGGGGTTAGAGTCCCTTTGAGAAGAAGCTTCAGGGTTCGAGTCCCTTTGAGAAAACGTTTTCGGGGTTAGAGTCCCTTTGAGAAAAGATAGTGAATAGGATCCATAAAGTGAAAAGTGTTGGCCATTAAAGTGAATAGGATCCATAAAGTGTAAAGGCCATAAGTGAGGATCCAGAAGTGAAACCATGGTGTAAAATTAAAAGTAATTATAAAAAGGGAAACGTGTTAAGGAGGCCTTTTGTCACAAAAAGTTTTGTAATTAACCAATTCCAAGCTTGATAAATGACAAAAGTAAAGAAGCAACAATATTTCAGTGACCACGGTTTAAATTACATACAGAAAAAGGGAGTTTTTATTTTTGGAGTGAACAGAGTTCACCGGAGAATGCAGAGTTTTATCTAAAGTTGAGCTATGAGAGGGTTGTATCCAACAGTTGTTTTTTGTTTTTTAGAAAGAGATTTTGAGTTTAAACTAGTTTGCTACCTCGATAAAATAGAAGCGTAAACGTTAAAGTAAGAGTGCCTTTTGTTACTAGTGTGGAAAGTGATCACTTCTAGACTTGGATGACAAAAGTTTAAAGAACAACATCAGTTATGGAGCTTTCGCGAAAGTTCACCGTGGTAGACCCGGCTGTTGCTGCCAGGCCACAGGCTGCTCTTCCTCGACTCATCAATACCAGCAACGCCCACACCCAGTCAACCAATAACCACCAGGACAGCAAGTTAAAAGCCGGAGACGCCCACTTCCCGATCTTCTGAAGTCTGCAAACTTCTGAAGCCTGCAAGGTGCATGTCGCTAACGCACCTGTTCGCAAATGCATGCGTTGTTCTGGAGGGGTCGCTTCTGCTCACGTGTTGCTCGTGCGCGTGGCCCGGCTGTCCTCAGTCTGGCTGCTCATGGTCTGCTCCTCTTCCACGTCCCTGCACTGCTGTGGTTCGCGTGTCTCCACTGCTCTCCTCCTCTGCGGGCTCTTCTGCGGGCTGCTCCGCGGGGCCCCTCCGCGGTTCTGTGCTGCTCGTTCCTCGTGGTCTGCTGCCGCGCGCAGACGGTCTGGCGGTGCCGTGCGTGTCCCTGCCTCCGATTGGCGGTGCCGCGTTGTCCCGTTGCTTCCCAAGTCTCCTGGCATGTGAGTACAGTCAGTGTGCCGACCGCGGACAGTTTAATCCCGGAGTCTAGGCTGCAGGCGGCTGGTTTTTGCCCTACGCACTTGACTGCAGGCGTCAGTCTTCGCCCCGTGCTTGGTCTGCAGGCTCCGTTTTACACGTGTTTGAGCTAACTGAGGGACAATGCATCTTAAATGGCATCAATCTCCAATGTCTGAGGGATATAAGAGGAGCAATGTGCATTAATTCAGATTCATGTTCTGCCACTTGCAGTAAAACCACGTTGGAAAAAAAAATGTGCAAAGACTACCCCATCGTGCTCCAGACGGCACACACAGAGCTCTTGCCACGGCGCCATCTTTACAGCATCAATCTCATTACTCGCAAGTCACTATTGTTAAATGAATGTATTTAAATTCGTCTATCTGCAGGAGGAAAGAGGGGCCATGCATTTAAATAGCTAGGTCACTAGTATTAAATTGGTAACTAAACTGCAGCTGTTGCATTTCGAAAGTGCAGCAGAAAGAAAAAGGGCCCAATGTGAATCTGCAATGGGTTTGAAGTGGAGTTGGAGCTAATGAACGCATGGATCAGTGATCGTTCATGCGTCTCTGCCATAATCAAAGCAGCAAGATGGCTCCAGGGGACATCTGTTATTCGCATGGGAATGTTTCGGATTCGGGTTGATTTATTTCCTCAGGCTCTTAAACAACCGTGGGCATGGTTCTCTGACCGCCGCTGCTGCGGTCCCTGCTGCCGTTCCTACTGATGCCTGATCCCGCTGCTGCCTATTCCTGCTGCTGCCTGTTCCTGCTGCCGCTCCTGCTGCTGTCTGTCCCTGCTGCCTGCTCCTGCTGCTCCTACTACTACATGTGCCGCTGCTGCTGTTCCTGCCGCTGCCGCTCCGCAGGCTCCTAGGCTGCACCTGTCTCTACGGCTCGGCTCTTCAGACACGTACGTAACCTGGCTCACGGAGACAAGCGGCGCACGCTGGCGTGACACGTCTGTTGTTTGTATGAATCGCATTGTGCTGCTGCTGCTTGCTGCTTCTGCTGCCGCTACTGCTGCTATTGCTGCCGCTGCTGCTTCATACTGCTACCGCTTCCGTGCTGCTGCTGCTTCTTTACTTTGACACCTCTCTTCACTTCGCATCTCTTTTACTGAAACACTAAACAGCTTCAACTATATTCTACTGCGGTGGCTTGATACAGGATTATTGCTGTTATTATCTACGGATGCTGCAGCAGCTGCTGCTGCTGCTTCATGCTGCTACCGTTACTGCTGCTACTGCTGCCGCTGCTGCTTCATACTGCATCTGCTGCCGTGCTGCTGCTGCTTCATGTACTTTGACATCTCTCTTCACTTCGCATCTCTTTTACTGAAACACTAAACAGCTACAACAATATTCTACTGCTCTGGCTTTGATACAGGATTATTGCTGTTATTATCTACGGATGCTGCAACCGCTGCTGCTTCATACTGCTACTGCTGCTGCTGCTTCATACTGCTACTGCTACTGCTGCTGCTTCATACGGCTACTACTGCTGCTGCTGCTTCATTTACTTTGCCATCTCTCTTCACTTCGCATCTTTTACTGAAACCCTGAACAGCTACAACAACATTCTACTGCTGTGGCTTTGATACAGAACTATTACTGTTATTTTCTAAGGACGCTGCTGCTGCTGCTGCTGCTGCTACTGCTGCTGCCGCGGCTTGATACAGGACTTTTGCTGTTATTATCTGAGGCTACTGCTGCTGCCGCTGCTGCTACTGCTACTGCAACCCATTCTCTCAGAAGCTTATCCTGCTTCTAATGGATGCAGCCCGGCTGAGTATGTAAGTAAGCAATAAGATTCTGGTGGCGGCACGCACTTTCCTCAAACGCTCAAAGATTCCTTGCTTCAGCGTCTGGCTGAATATGAGCGTGCGCTCATATTCTCAGCTCGCTCGAAGATTCCTCTGCTGCGGCTGGCTGAACATGCGCGTGCGCGCATGTTCTCAGTTCGCTCAAAGATTCCTCTGCTGCGGCTGGCAGAACATGCGCGCACGTTCTCAGTTCGCTCAAAGATTCCTCTGCTGCGGCTGGCTGAACATGCGCGTGTTCTCAGCTCGCTCATG